ATGGCGGGCGCGCCCGAGGGGCTGGCGGCGGAGGGCGCGGGCCCCGGCGAGGCGGCGGTGGAGGGCGCGGGCGCGGGCCCCGGGGGCGGGCGGCGCACGAGGCGCGGCGAGCCGAGCGCCAGCGGCCCCACGAGCGGGCGCGCCACCTGCGGGCAGAAGCTCATGGCCACAGCTTGCTGCAGCGTGGCGATGGCCGAGGTGACCTGCGGCGGCGGCGGTGGTGGGAAGAGGCCCACGCGCTGGCCCAGCTCTGCCTGCTGCACCATCTCGCGGTCGTACTTGACGATCTCCTGGATGATGGCGTTCTCCTGGTTGTTGAACACGCCCGAGTTGAGGTCGTGCTGCACTTTGTGCAGCAGGATCGAGTTCTTCTTGCCTGGGGGCGGGGCAGGGGCGTCAGCGCGGGCGCGCGCCCGGGGCGACCGCGGGCCGGCGACGTGCGGCTGGCTGCGCGCGGCGAAGGGTAGCGGCGCCCGCGGTGCACGGCGCGTGTGCGTGGGAGCCCCACCTACGTGCAGCCAGCAGGGAGGCGTGTGCCATGTACAGAGCATGTTATCGAGCGCTTGCTGTGTACCTTAAGAACTTTTGTATATGCTGCAAGCATACATGGGGCACCTCCTGCATACAGCTAGCAGGTACTGGGCATCCACTCTACACATCCAGTGCACATACCACTGCGTGTACTGAGTGCCTGCTGGATACAGCAAGCAGGTAACCTGTAGGTTACCTAACTGTAGGGCCAGAGGGCGCAGAGTGTGCATCCTGCATGCCACAGGCAGTGCCACGAACCTGCTGGTATCAGACACACACCTGTTGTAGATCATAAACATGCACGGAGCACCTTCTCTATACAGTGGAAATTAAGCACCTGCTGTATACAGCAAGCACGTGGAGAGCGCGCCCGTGGAGAGCCAGCAGGTGTTGGGCACTTGTTCTTGGCGCTAGCACATGGATCAAGCAACGGCCGCATCCACGTATGCACCCCCTGTATACAGGGAGTGTGCACGGAGCCCCTCCTGCCTACAGCAAACAGATACCACCGACTGTCTGCTACGTATGGCAAGCAGAACTGAGCACCTACTGTATGCAGTAGGCAGGCATGACCTGCTGCCATATATATACAGCAAGCGGGCATCAAGTTCCTGCTGTATACGACAAGCATAACCCAGTACTCGTGTGTACTAAGCACACAGAGCACCTACTGTATACTGCCAGCATGCATGGACCACTTCTTGTATACAGGAAGCGTATAGTGCGCCCGTAGTATACAGCAAGCACATGAAGTGCCTGCTGTGCACACAAAGCAGGTGTCACTCTGCGGCAAGCATGCGTTGTCCCTCCTGTGCACAGTCGTGTACTGAGTACCTGCGGTGAGCACCGAGCACACTGAGAGCGCTTGCCGGTGCTCAGCCTCATGCCCTCCAAAGATACAGCAAGCGTATGTTGAGAACCTTTTGTATGTCGCAAACATATCTAAGCACCTGCCATTGCAAATATGTTGAGCACCTACTGTATACAGCAAATTGTTGAGTGCCTCCTGTATGTGAACATGGACCGAACGAACGCTTCCTGTATACTGAGAAGTCTCTCCCCTGACACCTCTGCACCCCCCACCCCGGTCCTCCTCTTCCAGTTTTTATTCCCACAAATAGCACCAAGAGCCGCCATCTGCCTGACCCATACATCGAGTCATCAGCAGGTCGTGAGGGCTCCACCTCTCAACGGTTTCTGAAATTGCCCTTGGCCTCTCCCTGCACCAGAGGCCACTTTGCCCAAGGACAGGCCTCTGTCTCCCTCCTGTAACTTACCTGCCCTCGTACAATGCCAGTCCTATCAGGTCCTCCCCTGCCTAGAACCATCCATGGCTCCCTATTGCTCCTGATTTACAGTCCAAACTCCTGCATCCACAGCTAGTAAGTCCCGTGTGCCTGGTCCCTGCCTGCCTCCCCCACCTCCCTCCTCCCAGCTTCTCCAGATCTCTGTGTCCACTCCCAGAACATGCCTTGTCCCTTTCTACCTGGCAACAGCTACTCATCCTGGCCTCCACTCAGCAACACAAGGAAGCCGTGACACCCCCACAGCCCCTCCTCTGTGACATGAGTCTGAGGGTGGCCTCCAAGACGGCCTCTTGGTCTGCCAACCACGCCTCCTGGCACACTGTAGGTGCTCAACAAACATTTGCCAAGTGAGCAGAAGTTCTGCACAAATGGAAACACCCCACACCGGCTCTTCCTTGGGAAACCAGGGCCACGTTTGGCCACAGGACAAAGTAGGTCGGAGAATCTGACTGGGGACTAAAAGGCACCTGGAGGGTCAGCCAGGCCACGCCCCCTCATCGCAGGCGGATGCCCCGGAGACCGGCCTACTCACCGATGCGGTCTAGGCGATCGATGGCGACGGTTTCGAAGGCCCGCCGCATCATGGGGTACTCCTCCAGCACCTCGTTGAAGTGGTCCACGCTCAGGGAGTACAAGCGGCAGTAGGTGTCCGCGCGCACGCTGGCCGTGCGCCGGCCCCGTGTCAGCAGGCAGATCTCTGCGTGTGGCCGAGGGTGGCAGCCTCAGCCCGTCAGGCCCTCGGCCGCTGGGCAGCACCCACCTGCCCCATCCATCCCCAGGGCCCTCCCACCTGCTATGAGCGCAGCCCAGCCTCCTCACCTCTGCCAGTGTGACCCTTCCACCCAGACACCCACGCCAGCACCCCTGCAGGTTCCCCGCCTTCCCCTCCACCCCTGGGAAGGGTCCAGCTCTGTCCGCAGCCCTGGGTCCCCACAGACGCTCACCCCCGAAATAGGAGCCATCGGACAGCTTCATCTCCTTGTTGCCCTTGGTGAGCACGCTGACCACACCGTGCTGGATGAAATACATCTTCTTGCCGATGGTGCCCTCGCGGATGATGTAGTCACCTGGCTGGAAGACCTCGAATTTGAGTTTGGTCAGCATGGCTGTGACAAAGTTGGGGTCTGCATTGGCAAACAGTGGCATCGAGGCCACCAGCTTCCGGCAGTTGAAGTTGACAATCTCCTGCAGGGGTGGGAAGCAGGGATGGCACAGGGCACAAGTCCTTCTTTCCATCCTGCCCTCCCTTTGGGGCCGTCTCCTCCCTCAGACCCTCAGTTTCTTCATCTACCAAAGCAGCTCAACACTGGAGCCTGAAAGCTGGTATCTTACTTACTGGGCAGGCCCTGGAGCTTTTACCGCCAAAGGCAGGAGCAAGAAAAGATGTGCACTGATTCCCTGTGAGTTAACTCTGTTAGCAACGCTGGCCAGTGCAATTAGGCAGGAAAAAGCCACCAGAAGCACAAGAACTGGGAAGGGAAAAGTGACGCTAAATCTCTTTGCTATCTTTTTTAGTATGATGACCTGAGAAACCCCAAAGAATCCATGGGAAACTACAACAATCAGAGAAGTCAGTCAGAATCGCTCGCAATAAAACAAAAAATCAGCGTACAAACCCAAGAAACAGTAAAGGACTCAGTGGTGGCAGAGATCAGGGTGAGGGTGGGAACGTTCCACATTCAATCTGAGCATTGGTTATTGAGGGCCCCATGCTCACCTATCCAGTGCGCACTCTTCAGTAAAAAGATACATTTCGATAAACGGGGGAGCTGAACCTTGAAAATCAACAACCCCTGGGAAGAAGACACAGTGGATGAGGGGACCCCATTTACACCAGCACACAGAGCTAAGTAAGACAGCAGGGCTTGAGCTTAAGAGACGTCCAGATCTGTCTGAGGGGAGTGTGGAGACACCCCGAAAGGCACGGCGGGATGCCGGAACATGCTACGTGGTTAGGCAGAGCGCCTCACCGCCGTAAAGACGAGAGACGTCCATTCTCTCCATTCATGTACACGTGTGCCAGGATCCCAACAGAAATACCATCAGGTTCGCTTTGGAACTGCCGACACTAGGCAAGTTAGAACAAATGAGCAAAAATAGCAGGAAAGCCTGCTAGTAAAAAAGAAGAGCAGGAAGGTGGGATGAGCCCTCCAACACACTGAAACCTGCCGTTCAGCCTCCGCCGCTCCGTGTGGCTTTGGCACAAGGAGCAGACGGGATCGAGTGGAAGGAAGTCTGGAGATCCGCCCAAGCACAATGGGGCAAGCTGGAGGTGGTCCCACAAGTTGCAAGGCAAAACCAGACATTTCAGCCCCAGAGCAGAAGATGAACCTGAATCCCTCCCCCACATGATACTCCAGGATAATCCCAAAGGGATCTACATGGAAAAGCCCAACCATACAAGCACTACAAGGAAGTGTGGGTGAACCCCCAAATCTGGGTGTGCACAGCAAGCATGTACCGTGCCCTGCTGTCTACAGCAAGCAGGTATTGGGGTCTATTATGTATAGCACATATGTACTGAGTGCCTGCTGTATACAGAGAGTAGGTATTGAACACCTACCCTGTACAGAAATCAGGTACTGAGTAGCTACTATGTGGAGAAAGCAGATGGAGCACCTGCTGTGTGCAGAAAGTAGATATGGAACACTATATCCCACTCCACACAGCGAACACACATTTTGCACCTACTGTATATAGCAAGCACTAATGGAGCATGGAAATCCCACATGGCTGCCCCAGATGCACCTCTCACCTGTGCATCTGGGGTGGGTGTCCCTCGCAGCGCCGCTGGGTGCACAACATGGCACCCGCTCTCAGAGGGACTGGACCCTACCCTCACCCCTCAGCCCTATCCCAAATGCACGAGCAAACCCGCAAAGGCACATGCCATGCACTGCCACCCGCGGAGATCAGGGACCCTGGGGGCCAGCAGCCCTGGGGCCTTGCCGCCTGGAGGACCCTGCAGCAGGAAGGTCCAGCGAGGGGAGTTGAGAGAGGCGGGCATGCCTTTGTTTTGCGTTAAAAAAGGAAATGGAAGACAGAGCAGGAGGAAATCAGGTAGAGGGACAGAATAGAGGTCAGAAATTTTTTGAATATATGTGTTTTTGTAAATTTGACCTTGGAATTGTGTAAATGCTTAAATAATTACCAGATATGGCTTGCAAGGGGCTGGGGGAGGGGATCGAGGAGTGGTGGCTAGCGGCTTCGGGTGTCCTGGGGGCCAGGAGTGCTGTGTGCTTGGACAGTGGTAACGGCTAAAAGCTCCTGGACCACGGGGCGCTCCCTCCCCCCCCCAGCTCAGCCTGTGGAGCGTGCAGCTCTTGATCTCAGGGTCGTGAGTTCGAGCCCCACATGGGTGCAGAGGTGACTTAAAATAAATAAATAAATAAATAAATAAAGTTTTAAAAACCTCCACAAACCACCGGATTGTATGCCTTTTATGGTCTATGGGGGTATCTCTCTACAAATGAATGAATGATCCAGTACAATTAAACACTTTCAGTGGGGTTAAGCACAGCGCCTTCCTCCTGGGAGGCAGTGGTCCCCACCCTCAGAAGAAATCCCAGTCTGCACCGACCCTGTGGCAGTGCCCAGGCCCCGTCCCACTGGCCCTCCTCACCTTCCTCCTGGTCCTCAGGACGTGCGTCATCTTTCCCTCCTCAGGGCCTTGGCCCTGGCTGTGCCCACCCCCTGGGACCCCTGCAGGCTCGCCTGGCCTCGCTCAGACGTCACCTCCCCACCTCCCCCATCCTTGCCAGAGCTGCTCCTGCATGCTCGTGGTCACTGTGATGGTCCCTCAGCCCCGCCTCCCTGATGGCACAGGGCAGGGCTCATAGTAGGCACCCGGCAACTGCCTGGTGAGCGTTGTGGGCTCAGTTGTGCCCCCCAAAAAACATACGTTCAAGTCCTGACTCCTGGTACCTGTGAACAGGACCTTACTTGGAAATAGGGTCTCGCAGGTGTAATTAGTTAACACGAGGTTGTACTGGAGTAGTGGCCCTGAAGCCAGTGACAGGTGTCCTTCTAGGAGGAGGGACACAGGCATACAGGGGAGGAGGCCACGTGATCGCAGAGGCAGCGATGGGGGGGTAGCCACATGCCGAGGGCCACCAGGAGCTGGGAGAGGGCAAGAAGGACCCCGTCCTGGAGCCTCCGGAAGGCGTGTGGCCCCACGACACCTGGGTCTGGGATTTCTAGGCTCCAGAGTGGGACAGAATCAATCTCCGTTGTTGTAAGCCCCCCGGCTGGTGGGAACTGATTACAGCTGCCCCGGGCACCTTGCCAGAAGCCACACAAGGTCCTCGTACTCAGCCAAGGCTGACGACCACCCTGGGCTCATCTGCTCTGGTCTGCCTCTCCCCTGTGTCCCCTCTGTCTAGCAAAGGACCCCAGATGGGCTAAGTGGAATCTGGCAGAGGTTGTCGCAGGGACCCTTGGGAGGTCGCGGGGGTGCAGCACAGGAAGCCTCCCGAGGGAGAGAGCATGTGGACGCATCCAGCCGACGCTGCTGCTTGGCCAGCCCCTCATCTCCGGGACGGGGAGCCTGGTGGTCGGGAGAGTCCTGAATGAGGGAGGCCTCACCTCCCGCAGCGGCCCGTTGAGCTCCCCCAGGATGCTGTCCTCGTCAAACATCTTGCCCTGGTAACGGTGCTCATAGTAGTCATGGATCTTCTGACGGAAGTCGGCGGGCAGCTTGTGGAAGGACATGTACTGCTCCACCTGCTTGTACTGCACAACGGAGTGGGGGGCCCCGGGTCAGCGGCTGCCGGCTCCGGGGACCCCGCTCCACCTGCTCGG